CGTCCAGGAAAATATTGTAGAGATGTCCACTGGGATGAAGTTCTGGATGTGCAGTGGACAGAGGTGAGATCGGCAGAACCGAGGTCACTAGCTCGTCCTTGTAATCCACCTAGGGACGCAACCAATTCAATCTCAGGGGTTCTCTGCCATAGAAACACAGCCCCCATCATCAGCTGTCTAGTTGTCGAGTGGAGGCCCGGGGTGGAGACCGCATACAACTAGGTACACCGCCAAACAACCTACCACAAAAAAACACCAAAAAACGGAGGTCGTCCCACGGGCGGCTATGGGCGGTGGTCCAACTTAGTCCAGTGACCCGGACTCTTTTTGGGGTTGAACAGCTTAAGCGGGGCGCCCATGAAGCAAGGAGGGAGAAAGGGTTCACTTCGCGAAGCCAGCGCGTGGAGTGTGTAACTTCCCCCTGCGACGTGCCTGCGCTTTGATTTCCAGCGTCTCCATGTCTGCGGTGAGGACACTAGACGTATCGCTCATCAGCTCCAATATGTCAGTGCCTGCAAAACGAAGTCGGCAGCGACTGCTTCCAAATCAAACATCCCCACAGTTTCTCCGACCTGGGGCAGGAAGTTGCAATCACGTTGCCGGGATTGGTCGACTCCGCTCCAAAACTCACCTTGAGAATACGCTGCAATATGAAGGTTTTGGTACGTTGGCAACCTTCGGTGGTTTCCCGACCGTCGGCCACAGCTGCGCACTCAGCACAGGACCCAGAGCGATCTCCCCTCGGCACTGGGATGGGCCTAACGTTGGGAAGACACAGATTGGCCAAGCGAAAACAGCAAGAGCAGCACACCGCAAGCAATCAGGAGGTCCATCGATGTCCATCCAAGTTCGAAAGCGGGTGATAGTCAGGACACACTTTCATTAAATCAAACCAGCCGGGGGTGGGTGGGTAGGTGGGCGGGCGGGCGGGTGGGTGGGGGGTTGGATGTTCGCACGGCATATGACTCGACTCGGGCCCTGTTTGATCTCACCATGGTCCAAATGGAAGGCCTCAAGCAACATACCTCTTGGCAGGTTTTTTCATGACATCCATACAACATGAACAACAGACTTGGCAACACACGTCCTATAGTATAGGCTATATAGGTTCAGAATTACTAAAACCTTCTCTTGCACTGCCTTCCAAACAGCATGTGTTGCACGACCTACTCACTCATGTTGAGTCTGCATTATAGCCAACCCAGTTCTTCATTGGGTGCCCTGGAAGAAAGGAGTCGCTGTACCGAACCATCACAGGCGGATTTATTCCTCAGAGCCCACATTGACTGGAATGCTGGGAGACTCCCCTGCCTGCTCCACCAAAAGCCTTTAACACATCAGAAATTTCAAACGGGATGCTACAAAAAGGCCGATGATATGGAGGATCGAAAGACAACAGCAAGTCATGGAACAATGATTGGTCCACCGACGGCAGCTACCGCAAGTGGAGGTTCTTTGGGTTCCAAATCTGCAAGATCTTCCCCTTCCGTGCCTGGGAAATGCACCGAGTTCACCCATGTGTTGTCCACGTTCGCGTTGATGAGCCCGAGCATGGGAAGCTTCGCCCACCAGGCCCCGTTCTTCACCGACTCGAAGCCTCCTGGCAAGTGGGACAAAGGGGCTGCAAAGCCAAAGATGTCGGCCGGACCTGTCAAATCCGGACCCAAGGCAAGTTCGGCCGCGAAGCAAACATGCCCTACTGCAGACAAACAGTCGAAGCACAGGAGGCAAGTCTGACAGCTGGCTCGTCATGTCCTGCGGTCGTCAGGTCGCACTTCTGGAAAATCTGGTTGTTCCCGCGGCTTTCAATGAACCGAGCAGAGTGGCAGAATCGCCCGCCTGACCAGCACCCGGCGCGAGTAGCCATGAGGCCACACATTTCAAAGAACACAAACCGCACTGGGCGCTTATATCAACCGTGTGTGGCGGGCCAACCTCAAGCCCAAATAGCTCCACGACACTTCGAGCAGAAAGCTAAGGATGCGGGCTTTGATGACACACCCAAATTCTTCACTAAGAGACAAGCACAAACACCGCATAAGAGCTTTCTTTTCAACTTTACACAGGCAGCCCCCTCCTTTCTGGAACGTCACAACTCTTGCTGCTGGAAAAGGGCAACCATGCAACCAGAGCATAATTTGAAAAGTCGGAAGTCAAACAAATGCCAAACATTGCAGAAAAAAGGCGAGTTCAGTTTGGCCCCGGCGCATGGCGAAATGCCGAAGAAGAAACACCGTGGCCCGCGCGCCTTCCGCGAAGAAGCGATGCAGCCGGCCCGGGCCATCGAAGCTGTGGCGTACCTCCTGGTCCCCAAGCCGAAAGAGTGAAGGGCCTCGGCTCACGAAGCGCCACCCAAAACGTCCCATGCCGATTTTCCGAGGGTCAAAGGGGTCAAAGTACCTCCTTTAAAGAGACCACTTGTTTGGAGGGTTTGGGCTTCCAAGAAGTGTTGCAAAAAGTGTTGGTTTTCGAGTAAAGAGCCCTGTTTCCCTTCCCCGATGATCAAATGCACCCTACTGTGAATATGATCATTGCGGGCAGGGGGTGTATTCATTCCTAGTGGAAGGGTAACCCTCCTTCCAAGACATGAAAGTGGACTGGATTGGTTTAGGACCTGTTGGCCGAAGGGGAAAATGAAGGCGACACGCAAAGTTCTCAGCGAAGAGAGCAGATCCGGGTTTGGAGCAGGTAAAAAATCAAGCAGCCCCTTCGGCTCCAACTCAGGCATGCGTCAGGAGAACCCCAGCGGCGATGGTCTGTGAGGCACCCCAAACAAAGTGAGGTATGTTAACAAGCTGGACATACTGCTGATAAGGACTGGTAAAGGAATACCCCGAGTCTGCTGCTTTCTCCGCATGAAGTACTGAAGGGGTTTACCTTTGTTCAACATACTCGGCAACGCATACAAGTCCTCCTCCTGTTGCTGGACTCGCTCGCTCAAGTTGGCTCACTTCAGTTGCAACCAACGGTCTCGCCCCGTCCGTGGCTTCATGAGTTTTGCATGGTCCGTGTGCCCGCATCGGCCAAACGGGATTGTCTTGTAAAATATTTTGTGAAATCTTCGCTTTTATTGAACCAACCGAAACACGCAGGTCCATGTTTGTCCCCCGCATTCCCAAAATGTCAAAGCTTGCAGATTTGTCGAAACCGGCTTCCGGCAAAGCATCTCCATCTTGGGGGGCAAGCCATATGGTTGTGTTACAAATAGGTGCTCTTCCCCCCCCCCCCCCCCCCCGCCCAAACAAAAAAACACCATTTGGTTGCACACCATTTTGTGCCCCTCCCCTTTTTTGACACGTACCCATACCCTATTCTGAGCCCGAAGTTCCCGCGGCCGCGGCGTCCGGCCTGCGTAGTAGAAGGAGAACTCCTCCAAGCCCTCCGGCAGCACAGCATCCACGCAGCGGTTCAGAAATTCGTCCACTTGATCTTCGAAGAGGTCCTCGAGTCCGAAAGGCACCTCCTTTCCCAGAAAGAACAGGGTCCACTTTTGGGGGTTAACTATTTTTGTCCGAGGGACAGCACATCGCTTTGTTGGGTGTGGAAACCGTCTTTGGGAGAAATTCTTGTACTTGCCCTCAGGTCGCAAGGCACCCCCTGATTGCACTTTGAGGGAGCCTTTGTTCTACTGTCATCTTCTGAAAGCATACTTCCGGGCCTTGGATTCCGCAGGCAGCGTGGACCAAACGCTAAGCTACGCGCAGGTACCAACCTCACCCAATGAAAGACCCCTGCCACGACCAATTTCTATGCCGCAGCCAGAGCAATTGTGACTCGTGAGGGCCGGCAGCAGCTCGGGGCACTGGGGACCGAATTGGTGCTTCGCGTTGCTTTGCGGTTTTGGATGGACTCCAGTTCTTGCAATCAATTGCATTGGGAAGGCACTTGAAAACTGAGCCAAACCGTCGGATACGATCGATGTTTTGGCGCATTCTTTTGGGGCAGCTGAGATTCGACGTCGCCCAAGCGTGGCAGTCTGCGTACCAGTTGGGATTCGATGGATTATCAAAGCGTTCCCCAAAAACCTAGACAAGCAACGGACCAATGATGAATTGCAGCTGCCAGTTCCTTGAAAGCATTCTTGCAAGGTCTGGTCACTCGATGTCCTTAAAATGAGATCAAGTCTTTGCTGTGCCCAACTTTCAAAGCTGACTGCATCCGACATCCCTGTGGCCAACTGAGGTCAACGCCTAAACTGGCTGTATTTGAGTGAGCAGATTCACGTGTTGCAACTCACAAGGGGGGCGAAAGCGGCATCCAAAGTTGATCCCTGGCTAAGTTTGTCCGCCGCTCCACTTGCTTCTGCTTGACTCCCAAGTCTCGATCGAAAGGGTAAGAACTTCTTACTTTTTGGCCTGGCAAAGCCGCAACAGAAACTGTGCCCTTTCTTCGTTTCTGAATGGAACATCAACTTGCTCCAAGGCTCCATCTTGGCTGCCAGGGCCAGGCTGAAGATGCACCATCGTAAAACCCGCATCTTCCCTCAAGCAAAGCCCCGCAAAGGATGAAGCAAAGCCACAAAACTCCACGCAGGGGCCATAACAATTACAATCCCGGCGTGCATCTGTGGGAAGAATGCTGACTTTGAATCCAGCCCATTCATGTTGATTTGCTTATTTTTGTTGGACTGGCTGCTGGCGCAAGCCAAAACGGCTCAGACCAAAAGTGTGGATCATGCATCGCCTGTGTAACCCTTGCAACTCTGCCTCGGGTCAGAGCGTCGCTGCCTCGACATGTGCATGTGGTCACCTTTTGCGGCCCAAAAGGTGTAGGTGAGCTTTGGATCCCCGAAAACACACAGAACAAATGGATGGCCGCAGCCGCCGAGCTTCTCAAACGTGGGCAATATTGTATGGCAAATTGCTGTACATTCAAACCTAGAAATAAAGGAACCCCACTGTAAATCTATTCAAGGAGCTGGAAGCTCCTTATTTGAACATCAGCTGCTCAGGTCAGCCTTGTGTCGAAAACCGCGAGACTCAGGTTCTTGGGAGCGCGGC